ACACACACACACACACACACACACACACACACACACACACACACACAGTGCATCGCAGTCTGGCCGGTGATCCCCGAGTGTGAATTTTTAAAGCTGGGGACGGCTGATCAGGAAGGGAAGCGAAGGCAGTCTGTGTCCGTGTGTTACAGAGTGGGGCTAAGAGGATTAGCTAAACGCCTCTGCCTAGCCTGGATACCCAGAGCTGTGGAAATCCCAACCACAACCCCCACCCATGGCCAAGCCACCACCCCCCACCCCCAACTAGGCTCACCTCACTCTCCGAGCTTGTATATCCCATACCCTGATGGACCATTATCCCTGAACTAATGGCTCTTTGACTTCCATCTCATTCAACCATGTCCAAAAATGAAGTCAACCTTCCATTAAAACATCTAGCCTAGCAACAACAAGAAAACACCAAACACAGAGCCCACTATTCTCCAGATAAGTCCAGTCCTCTTAAATACATCGCACAACAATTTAATATGAGCGACAAAAATGGTCTAGACAACACACCAAAAGCTATTAGGCTGACCTCAAACTAAATCCCAGGAAGAGAAACATGAAACATTTATATTTAAGAAAGCTGAGATTCTCCAAGTCCATAGATCTAATATAGACTTTGTGGTTGGCAGACCTTTATTGAACCCAGATGCTAGAGACAGACGTGCCTTTAGACATAGGTCCATCAGCACAGCTTAGAGAAACAGCGCCGTCAGTGTCTGTGTCAGCGCCAAAACGCCTGGCTGCCGACTCCTCCAGCTGCTTCATAAAACACAGACGCTGACGCCACGGCCGTGACCATAAACTCTAAAAATGGACAACACGGACAAGAGGAAGCCTGAACATGAACATGGAGACAGTTTGAGGTGGAAACGGGGGAGTGATCTCAAACACAATACAGCTATTAAGGCATATGTATGAAAAGCTGCCCTCCCAGAAAAAGTCAACAAAGCACGTCAAGACAGGAATTCATAAACTCCTACTTTATTTCACCGTCCTCTCACCCTGGATCACTCAAAGAGCACTGAATGAGGGGAAACGTTGCTTTTCTTGGCAGGGAGACGTGCAGTCTGGAGAGTGTGTGTGTGTGTGTGTGTGTGTGAGAGAGTCAAAGGGGTGACGGGGTGAGTGTGTCAAAGGTAGATTAAAGGAAGCAGAAGACGAACGCGATGAAACCTCCAGCTGTGCCAGCAGCTGCAGCTCATCCCCGAACACGAGAGGGGAATCGGGGCGACAGCAAGGGGGCCAACAGTTCACGGCCGAGGGCCTGCCCCCTGTGGTGCAATCAGCCCTATATGGTGGCGCAGACGCTGCGATAAACATGATCGCTGTAGGCAGACAGACCCACACACACACACACACACACACACACACACACACACACACACACAC